AATGCAATGAAAGCCCTGTCTGATGTCCAGCTTGGTGAACACCTTTGCATGGGAGATTCATTCTAAGACTTCATCAATCAGAGGTAGGGGGTATCAATCCTTGCAGGTAATTGAATTCAGTTTCCAGTAATCCACACAAAACTGAAGGCCTCCACCCAGCTTTCTTGCCATCAAGATTGGTGATGCATATGGAGATTGGCTGGGCACAATGAAGCCCTTGTTCAAATTGTCAATGATATATTCCTGGGCAGCCTCCAGTTCCTCTGTGGACATCTTGTACAACAGGCTGTATCCAACTGTCTTGGAAGGATCTCCTTCAAGGTCCAGCTGGTGATCAACCTCCTGTGGTGGTGGTAGGTTGTCAGATGCTATCTTGCTGAAAACATCTGCAAACTCTTCATACTGGCCTGGAAGCTTCTGCTGGATACTTTCCAGTTCTTCATCTTGTTCTCACTGTCTTTTGTCATCCACAATCTTGTCGATTTCTGCCAGTGTTGTCATAAAAATCTCTGAGTTGCCCTTGTGGAGATGTCATGCAAAACCCACTCCACCAATCATGGCAATGTCAATCTTTGCAATGGTTTCTTTCCTCCTCCAGTGCCCCTTCCAGGCTTGTTCCTCCTCTTCTTGTTGCACTACCAGGTCCTCTTCTGGTCTCAGGGAGAATGCAGGGTCCACCATTTGTCACTCCATCTGTCTCAATGACCGCTTATTGTCCCAACTAAAGGCTCAAAGGCTGTGCCTTTTGATGTCCTCCTGTGCAAATAGCCTGTTCCTTCAGTCTGCATCTCTTTGGTGGTTGATGCTCACCTGATCCCTTCAATGCAGTATGGTCTTTGGTAATGTCCACACCAGCTGATTCACCACTTCTTTCCAGGGTGGTAACTAGAGTGGCACAGCGAAGCCGCAAAATCCGCGCCAATCCGCGCCGAATCCGCAATGGCGCGGATTCGGATCCAATGGGCCAGAATCCGAAGCGGCTGCGGATTATACACGCAGGATCCGCAGCGGCGCGGATAATCTGAATGGAGTGGCTTGGAGTGGATTTTGTGGCTTGGATTATCCACAAGATCCAATTACAATATGTTACTGTAATTTAGTAAATAACTAGCAGTTGGCCAATTTTTTAATCAAACTATGGTTGGATTTAATGATTAATATACAATGAAATGCCTTTGTTATAGATTTCAATTGGATATGGATGTTGTTGGCCAATAAACTAATCCATCTCATATACTACGGAATGCCGGGTATTATATATATATATATGGGTAGACATTATGGAGTCAATATTAATGTTTGTGCAAATTTGGAATGTACATAAAGATATGGCTA